CACACATTATCTGCATCTTTTTCTTCCTCACAACACAGATAGCTTCTTTTAAGCGGGTCTCAATGCAATGTCACATGTTGTGGTTTCTGTCACTCCCACAGCTGCTCTGTCACGTTATTGTCTCCCCAAAACACTTCCATTTTATTTTACTCAACTTCTGTTGTGTTTTGTGCACAGCGTTTTTCTATTTGCTGATGTTGCCTTTAGTTGCAGTGTTTTTGACCTCTCAGGGCCACAGTACTACTGTCACTCCTTAGGATTTCTCACATGTGCAATGTAGCCATGTACTTTCTCAATGTCACACAATGAAGCTGCACATGAGAACGCAAATGTCCAACTTGAGCAGGTAGGGCATCCAGTGCTCTTTAACCAGCTACCGCTCAACATCTGCGTGATGTCTGGGTGCAAAAGTTTGGGAATAGCAGAAGATTGTTAGGGGGATTTACAGAGATCTAGTGGATGCACGCTGTACTCAGAGATCACCTAAACCAATATATTTTAGGGTGACTTTCATCAGTTTAAAAAGAAATTAATAAAAAATGCCAATTTTGTCTTTAAAGTCTATTTGCATGCTAGGCTAATCAAGACCTAATCAATTGCTCTATTAAGTGTGCATTTTCCTGGACATGAGCAGACTAGTTGATCACCAGTGAGGAACAGACTTGAGTTGAATGACAAATGCTGTTGTGCTGAAATGCTATTCTGGTAACTGTGAGCAACTGTTGACCTGTTTTTACTGTCACAGGTGATCAATGACCGTCTCAGTACAGATTCAATATTTTACTGTTGGACTACACATGTTGGAATCGGGATGTGATATAAAACACTTTTATTCAGAGGTGCGTGGTTTGAAATTTATGGATGTAGTTGTTTCTTTATTTCTTTTTTCCCCTCCTCTACAGTCTCTCGTTTCTCCCAATGTGTTCATTCATTTTGTTGCTGAGTGGCAGAGAATTTATGCTCCGAAAAATATTTACATAACCTACTGTGGACCACCAACTCTGCGCTGCTAACAGTGGGTTCTGCGCGCACGCCCACACACTCACAGACACGCAGGAATACAACACAGAGAGATGTCCGGTGAGATCAGCTCTTATGACATAACCCGTATCCAGTTTTAAATGAGCAGTCATAATGCAAGGCCGAGCATGTGACAGTACGCGCCTCATTCATTAGCCTTGCTGTCTTGGTACAAATAGCCCAGCCTGTCAACTTCAAACAACATATCTTAAAAAATGAATAAATAAGTCTGCACTCAGATAGAAATCAGACATGTGATCAGCGCACAAGCAGTGAAGCGCACATGTGCTAACCATAGGGGCATCTGCTTCATAGTAGTGGTCTGCTTCAGCAGCTACTGCAGTATTAGCCCTGCTACAGTGCGGTGAACAAAACAGAGGTAATGTAACGCAACACTAGCATCTGTCGGACAGCAGGTTACCAAACCATAAGTCCTATGTGTCGGCTTGCTTAACTGGACATGCTTTAATCCTTTCGGACCTTCTTTGTTCCTCATCTGCTTGCTCCAGTTGGCGCTGTATTCGTCTTAGTGAACAATTACAAATAACATCTACGACTTCTATGTCCAAATCCAAAACATTCGATGAAAAAGACCCGACCGGACTTCCTATCACTTTTTGCTTTTTGGTCCATTTTTTAAAAAGAAGAAGCCAACACATGCTTGGCACGTTATAGCCCTTTAAATTATTTAACAACAAATTTTAGATGCAGCTTTCTCCCGCTGCAGGACAGTCCCATTTTAATATCTCTATTAGCCATTAGCATGTTCTGTAAGAGAACATAACTTGCCTTACTTTTTCACGCCTCGATTCTTGAGCGCCTGCAGCGAGCACAACTCATAAAAAAAATGGGATTTTAATCCCCATGAGAAATTCCCTGTGAGTTCTGTACTATCCACAAAAATGAAATGAGGAAGCTGGTAGAGATGCTTTTTGGTGCTTAGAGACATGTGATCAATTAGGTGATGGCTCACTGGCACTTTACCCCATGAGGGAATACTAGGTTTTCTTCTCAAGGACAATTAAACAGTCTTCTTATCACTCCAGCTGACACGAGATCAACAAGGGACCAGAGTGTGGAGTCATGGGCAACCAATTTTTCACTTAAAGGTCAGATCATGAAGGAGAAAGAGTTTCTGATAATATCATCTAGGTTGTAAGCAAGGGTTCAGTTTTAAAAAATATATGGTAGAAATGCTGCAGAAAGGCTTACATCGGTAACAGACAGTGATGACATCAAAACAGACAGAGTGCTTTTCAATACCAAAATTCTAAAAAAACGTCACCTTTTTCAGTACTGGAGTTACTGTATGTACCAAGTAGGGCTGTCATAATAAATAAATAAATACATGCCTGATTGCAATCAGATTAGATACTCATTTGCAGCAGTATTGATACCATATTTCCCTCTTTTCACTGACAAACTTCACACACAGCAGACAGGCAGACACCCAGCCCCTCCCGTCACTAGCAGCTGAACACATTAGCAGTGGCATAATAAAACAAAGCGTGTTAAAGACTGACACCGAAGTCTTTATGAAGAATTCCGCGAGGTCAGTAAAGCTCCTGTTTCAGCAGCACTGAGTTGCTGAACACAGATATTAACGTTTATGATGGTGTTAGCTGCTTAACTGTTAGCAGTTCCGCACATTAGCCGACAGTTAGGTTATTGTTAAGGTACCAGGTATAGGTAGTAAAAAATGATAACGTTACTGTTGCCATCATCGGTCCTACCTGTCAGTGATGTTATTAGGAAGGATTAATTTAACAGGATAACAAATTATTTACCCCTAAAAAGTGTCTCTTAAAGCCCCTTGTTGAACCTGAGAAGAGTCTACTGGTAAGGTTGGCTGTATTGTTTCTGCCTGTAGGCAGAAACAATACAGCCAACCTTACCAACACTATTTGATCACCATGAAATATATGGTGCCAAGTCACCAAAAGCAAAGGAAATAAACAGAGGTGTAGCTGAGTCTATTTACACGAACCATTATTGCTCTTATCTTTCGTTGGTTTTTTTTGTTTTTTTTAATTTTGTCCTTTTTTCTGTCTCTGTGGTACCAAAAATTGCATCGATTATTGAGTATTTTCCCAGTACCAGTATCAGTTTGAAATTCTACTACGGTGACAACCCTTGTAGTATTGTCAGACCAATAAATTTGTATTTGTGCATATGTAAGATTAGAAATGTCAATAAAGGTTTGAGTTGATTTTTTTTAAATCAATTGAAAAAAGTTGCTCTTCTGAGGCTTTGCTCACATTGAGGGCTAAAGGTCCTGCAATGGTTTTGACCTTTCTTTTGTAGAGTTGTTTGTAGCAGCGGAAAGACAAAATCACCAAAGCAACCGAACACAAAACATGTGCGTCAAATCTTTTAGCAAACCATCATTAGGCACAAGTCCACAAGTCATGACAGAAGACACGACTTGCAACTTGCAACTTCCTTTTGGTACATTTCTAATAGAAACAGCGGTCCACCACAACAATGCTCAGCTCTTCTCGAGAGGAGGGTCGTGAGGGATCGTTGGCTGACGCACACTGACCTATTCAGACAGATCATCAACGTGGGTTTGACCCACATCACAGTGTCAGTCTGAATACCGCATGAATCATCCACTCCAATCTCTAGAGCTGATAATCTTTAATGATCTTTAATGATGAAGGCAAATTAATGAATCTTTGAAACAAAACTGTGTGTGTGTGTGTGCATATGTCGCCGTTTTAAAGTTTGTTTTTCGATTTCTTCCGCTTCAAAACACACAGAAGTCTCAGAGAGGAAATTTGTGGGCATAAGGTTGCCCCTTTATCTAGCTGTTTATCTACCTTTCTACACCATGTTTTTCTTCTCCGACTTCAAACACCATGTCAGATCATCCTTCTTAGATTCACTACACCTTCAAGCTTCCACTATCATAGGTCTACAAGAACACAGCAGAAGCTTGTCAGAATGCACCTATTCAGAGTTGGGTTTTTTAATCACTTGAAGACAAAGAGATAGAATCTCAGAGACAGAATAAATGTAGTTTACTTTTATAATCGTGCTTGTATTTTTATACTCTTGGTACCTTCTATATTAAATTCCAGGTACTCAGGAAGCACTTAGGAAAATAAATGTGAGTCAGGTCCTAATTTTGTTTTTACACCACCCACTTAACCACATCACGAATGAAAAAAAATACATATTACAGCGGTTCATCTTCAGCTTCTTTTCATAGCGCCTATATCTGGATGCACATTATGTTCTTATGCTCCTGTGTGTTAAAACATCCCACAGATGAAAATGATCCCGGCAGGATGTTCGGCTGAGGGGGTAATAATAGAAAGTAAAGCAGACATGAGCACTTCTCCTAGGAAGTAATTTCACTTGGACTACTTGGCACTTTGAAATTAAATTAAAATATCTGATTATTAGAATAAAATGGCTGCCAGAACTGTTAGTAGAGGGAATACAGCTCGAACTGACTGATGAGCTTCAAAAGAATATATATATATATAGCCAGGAACTAATTTGTGCTTGAATCTGAGCCTAAAGCAGCCCAGGTAAGTGTTACAGCACTTTCAGTCTATAGAGGCAAACAGACCGAGTGCTGGGTGTACTTGGGGCTGTCTCAATTAGGCGTGTTAACAGGTCCTATAACAGAAAAGCTAATTTACCTAAAAATAACCAACCCACCAGATTTGGAGGTTATAATACCAACCTTATAGACACAGAGGGAAATGCAAATTGTTGCACAAAAGATTTAGCATGTAAAACAGCCAAATCTCACATCAGCAAAGGACAAAGACTCACAACAGGTAACATCTACTTCTTGCCCAATACCAAGACACGCCCTTCATGTCTGCACGTGTCACCAGTGTGAGTCTCTCACTGGTGCTTGTGTATTTATATAGAAGCAGCAAGTTTCTACTGACAACTCAAACGTGTATGCAGGCGTGCCACCACACACACACAAACATTGCAGAGGACATATTTTGTCTTACCGATTACCAGGGTCAGATTTCCAGCATGTTAAAGGATATGGATTGCAGACCATGCGGAGACACCAGTTGCGAGGCCTCGTTGTTTGCTTTAAGCAGAAGAAGGCTACGGGGGCCAGGGCCGGATACGGCTGCTGTTCCTCCTCCTCGGAGACGCAGTCTGGATCACGGATGGGAGCCGTGATGCGAACTCCCAGTGTTGGTCCATCTTCCACTTCCAGCTCCGGTTCCTGTTCTTCATCCCCCTGAACTTCAGGACTCCACTCATTTTCTCCATCTCCTTGAATGCTACTGCTGCTGCTCCTCCTCCTCCTCCTCCTGCTGCTCCTTCTCGTCCTCTCCACCTCCTCCTCTTCCTCCTCATCATCCGGGCGTCTTCTTCCTGGGTCATCTTCATGACCTTGGCCGTCATTCCTGTAGGATGTCGGTACAGCAAGCCTTACCTCCTCCCGCACCTCCTCCAGCTCCTGGCACTCTGCGTACTGAAAGCGCGCTCTCCCTTCGCCATCAGTCATGATAGAGCATCAGGCAGAGCCACTCTGAAGGGAGGTCAGAGGAGAGAAGAAGGTTAGAGGGAGTCGGAAAGTGGGGAGGGAGCCCATGGTGAGTCAAAGGAGGCAGACATGAAGGTAGAGGAAAGACGCAGATTAACGGTGACAGAAAAAGAAGCGAGTGAAAGATCAACTTGGCAAAGAGCAACTGGAGACAAATCGCACAAGGAGCCAAATAAACACTTAGGCCATTTCCTCCTCCAATCCCTGAGCAGCAGGCGCTTCCAATCAATCTAAAACACAGATTTCCAATACAGTCCTTTTACAAATCTGCCAGGGCTTTAGGCTTTTCATGGGCTTTTATTTTTTTTTTAAATAGCCTTTCTTCTCAGTTGTGTTCTTTTCCCCTTAAAACGAACAAAAAAACAAACAATAAATGCTTTCATCAGACAAAACTGGGAGTCTCTGTCAGAACATCAAGCCTGAATTTCATAGTAGCCATAGTAATAACACAGTAAAGGCACCATGGAGCACTACAGACTGACAACTGCCTGCTGTTGCAGCAATTAGTAGAAATGCGAAAATGTGTTTAGTGAAATTAGGTAACAATTAAGTGCGAGTACTATAAGAGTATCATAATAGTAGAGGGATGTTTTTCCCACTCTGTCTCCCTCTCTCTCTCTCATTCTCTCTCTTCCTGTTGCTATGTGATTGAACAGATGGACTGTTCTGTCTCTGGTCTGCTGAAGGTTTTTAGCCCACACCACGCAATGGTGGGCAGGGAATGCGCCAAAAAAGAGGAAAAAAACCAAACCACCACAGCAATACTGATTATTATTGTAATAAGTGGAATAACGTCGAGAACAAAAACATTAGTGATCGTAATCCAGCTAACAGACTTTGCCCTTTTGAGGAAGCTTTTCTTTTTTCTTTCTTTTTTAACGGGCTTTGTTGTCCGCCGTTTGGTGTTACGTGAGAAGAGCGCATCTGACCCTTCAGGCAGTTGGAAGCTCTCCTCCTGGGGTTCTTTTGTAAACACCGAACAATATTAAAAACACTTTGATATGAACAGTTGCTGTAAAAGTACTTCCATACGCGTTTTAAACGGTATTAATGGAAGTAGAAGCCACCAGAGCGCGCATCATCTGTGCTTTTTCCCGTTTTTCGCCCCTAAAAAGTGGACTATCTCCTGCACTCAGTGTGTATAAAAATAATCACATGCAAACAGAAGAACTTTATTGTTTTAAACTACCTTATTGAGACGGAATCGGAAGTTCCCATAAGCATGATCCGTGACTTTCCGTCTTTCTAGCGCACCCAGCCTTTCTCAGCTTCCCTTTCCTTCTTTCCTCTCTTCTCTCTCGCTTAAAAAAAATCAAAACAAAACAAAAAAAATATCCTTCCTTGGCTTGCCAAAGATCAGATATAATCCGAGGGTCGTTGGAAATCGCTGGAAGTAATCAAATAAGTCACTTAAAGTCGTCTTGATTTGGCGCGTTCAGTTAAACGGGAACATCTATCCACATCCATGCATCCATCCATCCGCTCCTCTCTGAGGTGCTCGTTACGCAGCGTGGAGCGGAGATGCGCGCAGGAGGGTCGGGGCGTGTGGCTTTCTGAGCTGAAGCTCCGTGGATGGTCTGACACGGAATTTAAAAAAAAAAAAAAACTTGGCCCAGGACCCGGGAGCCGTGACACGTGACGTGATCCCCGGCTTTAGGAATACGGCGCACAGTAGGAGACTCACACCCGGGCGCGAGAAACGAGCAGAGAGCCAAGCTGGGCGTGCACGCACCGCGGTGTTTAATGGATCACAAAGCAGACGGCATAAAGAGAGAGAAATTAATGCACAGTGTGTCGGTCCGTATTATTTTTGGCAATAATCCCAACACAGAGGACTATACCGGCAAAAAGGAAATACTGGTGGTGGTGGGGGACGGGGGTGCCTATATCTTCTATATTGTTCTTTAGAGTAAAAATAAATGTAAAAAAAAAAATGCTGGAACGTGCTGGGAGTAAAAGGAAGCAAGTTTTGGTTTTTGACTTTATCGTGAAACATGGACAAAGACAAAGGAAGATAAGACAAAAAGTGAAAGAACATTTTAGATTTTCTCATAGTCGGACCCTCCAGGGTCATCGAAAATAAAATGGAAACACTGCAGAGTATAAAATGTACTTAAAGAAAAACTGATATGATACATATTTGAAGTTATATTTAATTTAATTCAGTTCAATTCAATTTTATTTATATAGCACCAAGTCACAACAACAGTTGCCTCAAGGTGCTTTATATTGTAAGGTAAAGACCCTATAATAACACAGAGAAAACAGAAAACCCCACTGTCACTCTGTGAGCAAGCGCTTTGGTGGGAAGGAAAAACTCCCGTTTAACAGGAAGAAACCTCCAGCAGAACCAGGCTCAGGGAGGGGCGGCCATCTGTTGGGACCGGCTGGGGGTGAGGGGAGGAAGACAGGACAAAAAAAAACACACACACACACAGTGGAAGAGAGCCAGCGATAAATTATAAGTAATGATTAAATGCAGAGGGGTGTAAAAACACATCAGTGGATCAGAGGAAGTTCACAGCAGCCTAGGCCAAAATTAGTGAGGAGTGGAAATTCTATTTTACAACAGCCATCTTGGAATTTGCCATCTATCCATCAGTGAGAGCAACATAACCTACAGAGTTTTCATATCACCAAAGTTCAAAGCACTGTTATGCAGGGCATTAAGCTTGAATCTTACATCAGGCATATCATCCAACAGTGACAAAATTGACACAACACTTGCAAACAAAATGGTTAATGCCACAATAAACATGTCCATAATTATAATTATATTTAATATTTTTGTTCAGCATGTTTATCACAGTTCATCCTGTATTCATTCAGGCAACCGGCGCCTCCACAATTTGATTTGACAATCAATTTAAACTCCTTTAAACTCCCATATTGCTTGAATGATCAATCACAATTACATTGACTATATTTAATTAAGAGCATCCAAGGCTGACGGAGTCAGAGAACTAGAGATGGAGGAGCAAAGTGAAAGAAACAGGATGTAGGATGGATACTAGGAAAGTGCTTTACTGTTCATTTGACTCCTGGGCAGCCATGGGCCCTGAACAAAGCTTTTCTGTCCATAAAACATATCTTTGAGAATAACCGACACCACGATCGGGAGAGATTTAAAACTTCCTTCTTAAATCAAATCTTTCAAATCAAATCTTTCTGACTGAAGGAGAATTTGACCAATTGAAATCAGCAGCAGAAGGTCCTTCAGAAACACCAATGAAAATTCATCAATGCATTTGTGGTATAGAACTAATGCAGATAAATAATATCACACATTAACACCTTAACACTCACAATAAGATCGTCAAACAGATTCACCTCTTTGACGATCTTGTTTGCAGAGACACAAAGGAAGTGGACATTAGCCTCCACTGTGACTGCTATAACCCAATTAAATATCCCCTATGATGCGCTCACTCCTGTTGTAGATATAGAAATCCAAAAGGCGCATTGTTGTACACGCCGATTACCAACAAGCAGAACTAAACCCAGCTTACACAGGCAAGTCACATGATGCCCTCTTTGTCAAATCGTGTGTGGAAGAGCTACATTTATAAAAAAAAAAATATAATAATGATAAATAAATCAAACACAGGAACTGACACAAAAGGTAAAGAGCTGGTGGGAAAACAAAGAAAGGGTTTAACATCAAGTCTGCAGGGTGAAGTCTGATTTATGCTCTCAAGCTCTCTTTGTTGTGGTTCTCTTTTGTTAAAGCAGACAGTGTCTTTCAATACCTCCAGAAATGAGGGGATTTTGAGCTTCAAGCCCACTGGTGACACATGATAATAAGTGATAATGGTTGTTTAATGGACTGGTAACATGTGAAAAAGGTGGCAGGGAAAGACCAAGAGCTTTTTAAACTTTAAACTCTAAAAAAAAGCAGATGCTTAACACTTCAGCTTGGGTCAACTTGGGAATCGAGAAAGTCTTTCATCGTAAAATATAGAAGCGCAAGCATTCTAGTGGCAACATTATGTAAAATAATTAGCATCTGTGCGCAGAGAGAAAGTAGTTTGGGGGATTGTTTTGTTTTGTGTGTCTGTGTATTACATAATGGCTAAGTACACTGGCAGGTCAACAATCTGACATAATCTTTTTAATCTTTGTGTGTATCTTTGTCTTTACTTAGCCTGATTATTCTGCAGTTGGTTGTTCACTTTATAAGTACACCAGTGGGTTTCACTGAGTTTTTAAACAGTATCAATATTCAGCTTTTGCTGCTTTTTGGGGCAAAAAGCTTGAAGTCGAGCACGACAATGCAGTAAATTATATCAAATTTGACCGTCTTTACTCTAAAACAGACACTGATGCAGAGCAAAGATGCACACAGCTTTTATCGTCTGTGTGCTGCAGTAAACATAGCGACTGGCTCGTCACGTTTCAAAATCCAAAAATGCAGTGCTGGGTGAATCAGACCAGATGTGACACTTAAAGCCACCCCACACCACAAATCTTCCTCCCCCTGCTTTAAAAATCTCTGAACTCAGTTTCTTGAATTCCTAGTTAGGGTGCCAAAAGCCTAAAAACTGGAGCCAGGAAAGGACAAGTACTGGCCGTTTCTGCAGACATCTTCAGCTGACAATGATCTTTGTGGTTTTGAAAACCTTTTGGCAAGACCTTTTATGATCACACTGCAAGTAATACAGGTTTAAAAATATATATATATATTGAACAGTTCTGCGTTAGAGAATCAAATCAAATCAAATCACTTTTATTGTCACATCACATGTGCAGGCACACTGGCACAGCACATGCGAGTGAAATTCTTGTGTGCGAGCCCCACAAGCAACAGAGATGTGCAAACACAACAACACAAACGAGCAAAATACAAGAATGGCCAACCTGAAACTAATAAATATATGTACAATATATAATAGTGTATGCATTTCTGGATGTGTATACTAAATATTTTCCTACGTGTGTGTATGTGTGTGTGTGTGTGTGTGTGTGTGTATACACATTTTTACAAATTAAATAGAAAAAAAAAAAAAAAAAAAAATAATAATAATAGAGCTGCTTTATGTAGTGCAAAGATCACCTAGGAGCATCAGTTATACTGGAAAATAATGTATAAATGCTGGGCTCGTGTACAGTACGGGAGCCAGCTGCCAAACCTTTTCATCGCTAAGCTGATCAAAGTTATAAATTGTCAAAAGGTTGATGTTCTCCTCTGTGGCTTGTGGTGTTTGAGCCATTACCCTGAAAGCCAATTAAGGAGTTTTTGAAGATGTGAAACTAAAGGGACAATGGGTTTTCTTAAATGTCCCTTTTGGCTCTCCTCATCAATATTGTGAAAATGCTAATTACCCAGGTTTTAATCAGCCACAAGCTCAGCTGAATCACTCTTTACCATCATCTGCATGTGCAACAGGAGACGTGAGCGTGAGTGTGTGTGTCCATTCTCATTCTCAGCTGTGAGAAAAAGTGACTAGTATGCAGACAGCTCGAGCTCTTCAAGCTCATCCCCCTCCCAACACCTGTCTTTCCTTCCCACCCGTCCGTCTCCCTCCCCAGGCTTTCGTACATGCAAACTTGGAATTCTGTCTTCATTACTCTATGCTTGGCTCCTATGAGAGTTTTGCTAATGCGGGCTCCACTCTGACGCCCTGCTCAGCTGTGTGTACGAGGCCTGGATAACCTGTGTTTCCCTCTCTCGTCAACTAACTGCTTTTTCTCTACCGACCCCCCTCCAGGAGTTTGTTCTTCCTCAAAGGAGAACCGTAGCTGATAATATCAGCTTGTTTCTGTTTTTATTACACAACAAAATCAACTCTGAGTCGAAATACCTGCAAGTACACAACACGTGGTTACAAATTCCGCAAGGGAGACAAATAATAGACTATCCTACATCTTTGGGGATTAAAACATCTCTTCACAAACTGCAATTCATTTGCCAACGCTCCAAATCAATAGGAGCGCGTGTGCTTCCCAAAGATAATCAATACTCCTTTGTCAGGTTGACATCTGCAACTCCCCACCCCCCACCCCACCCCCCATCCAATCCCATCTCATCATCCACCATCCTCCACTCCGACTCCCACACTTTCATCATCCGGCCTTTTCCTACCGGTTTCCTCATCTCGTGTCATTGCTTGTTCCTGCTAAGTTGGACTTTTGAAGCGCTGCGGTGAGATTGAAGCCACTGCAAACACAAAACAATGTTTTTTTTCTGTCTCAAAAAGCTTTCCAGTTTGAAAAAGTGAAAATGTTTGACGTCAAATCGTGCTTTACAATTGGTGACGTTAAGTAAATAAGGCGTTTAGAAGCAATATATCAAACTGGGTCATTTAGAAAATTCATGTTTGACTACTTTTCCACTGAAAGCAAGAGTGCATTACATTACGCAACTGTGAAAAGGGTCAGAGTGAGCAGTGAAAGGGAAAATGGCAGGATTTTCAAAGAAAGCCAAGTTTCCTATCAAAACATTTCAAGGAAAAGCATCTCTAGGTTTTGCATGTGTTGACTGACATGTGATCTCTTGAGATGTGGAGGGCAAAAGCACAACAAAGACTTCAAAGAC